ATTTAAGAATAAAGTTAGAAGAACAGTAAACGACCCAAAAACGCCACAATATATGCACTTCATCGTTGACCTTGTTGGTAACAACAGGGTTTCGCTAAAGCTAGCTATCTACTCGTGTAGGCTCCTGTTGAGGCTACAGAGGTAGACAGGTGGATGATTGCTACTGGGGGGAAGAGTCGTGGAAGCAGGGAAGAGAAAGTAGACACGGGAAAATAATGGGTGCAAAGCGGAATAAAATAATAATAATAATAATAATAATAGAAGTTAAATAAGGGGAAACGAGACAGTAGCGAAGCAATAATCGCTAACAATTTAAATATTGTGAGTTACGATACTACAATTATATTGTATATTTTCCCAGTAAAGCAGCGTACGCGTTACAATTGTTTTCGATTGTCTTTACAATTCTATTGACTTTTTTGTTTACAATTGTCTATTTGCATCGTTAACGTACTAGTGTGAACAATTAGTACAGTTTTTTTTTAGTGACCGACACTTAGAGTGCGATCGCGTCGCAGGGACAGTTCGGCCTAAGTACTCCTGCGACTGCCGGCGACGGGTCTGCGACGTTCAGCGACTGGAAAATTGCCAGTCGCAGCGAGTAACGCATGTTCTACTTTTGCGACGCGACGCGACTGTTTCCACCCGTCGCTTGCATTGTTTTACCCGACATAAGATGCCTTGCGACCGCTGAGACGAGATTCGAATGCATAATGAACAATGCATAACGGCGAACAATGCGAATGAAACAATCAGTGCATACAGTCATATACACAACTAGCTCCAAGAAACGGTATTGCTAGGGTTAGAATACCGTATAGACAATCCGTCGCACAGCCTGGTCGGGCCAATACACAACATGCACACAGTAACAAGTCATGTAAACACATTTAGTTGCGCGATCGATAGGCGATCGTCACATCGACCTAGCGCCTTCTGCGACTGCCTGCGACTGCCAGTGTCAGTCGCTGCTCGTCGCTGTCAGTCGTGTCCCTGTCGACTCACTGTCGCTGTGAGATGCAATTCGTTGCGTCTTGTCGCATTCAATCGCAACCCGACCTAAGGCCGGCTTTACGCATAATTAAAATTCACACACGACACCGACGACGACACAGGAAAACGCTTTCCTTCCAAAGAAGCAAAATCTGGCGAGAAAACGCGTCAAGAAATTAAATGTCCGTCTATATACTTTCCAGCAATACTACCCACCGAAATTTTCCACCAATAATTATCACCGATACTTTCCACCGATACTTTCCACCAGTATTTTCTACCGATACTTTTTACCAATACTTACGAAACAGGGAAACAACTCCACGTAGGCCTACAACAAATTTACAAGGGCATAGCGAATAGTATATAGCACGAGATTCCCACAAGAACGCGTCCAGAAGTAAACGTCTACCGATACTTTCCACCAATACTTTCCACCAGTACTTTCCACCGATACTTTCCACCTATACTTTCCACCGATATTTTCCACCGATACTTTCCACCCATACTTACGAAACAGGAAAACAACTCCACGTACAACAACTTTACAAGGCCACAGCGAATAATATTAATTTAGCGCGATATTCACATAAAAAAACGTCCAGAAGCAAACGTTCACCGATACTTTCCACCGATACTTTCCACCAATACTTACGAAACAGGGAAACAACCCTACGTACAACAAATTTACAAGGGCACAGCAAATATTATTTAGCGCGATATTCACACAAAAACACGTCCAGAAGTAAACATCCATGCAGCGATACTTTCCACCGATACTATCCACCGATACTTTCCATCGATACTTTCCACCGATACTTTCCACCGATACTTTTCACCGATATTTTCCACTGATTCTTTCCACCAATACTTACGAAACAGGAAAACAACTCCACGTACAACAAATTTACAAGGCCACAGCGAATAAATATTTATCACGAGATTCACACAAAAACGCGTCCAGAAATAAACGCCCACCGATACTTTCCAGCGATCCATTCCACTGATACTTTCCACCGACACTTTTCACCGATACTTTCCACCAATACTTTCCGCCAATACTTTCCACCGATACTTTCTGCCTATACTTTCCACAAAACCTTTCGAAACAGGTAAAACGATAACAGCGCGTACAATAGACAGAGCACAGCGAGTTTTATAATTAGCAGACGATTCACACAAACACGGTGACGACATCAGTTTTGCGCAAAAACAACGAATCACAATCACAAGTAATCCACGAGTAGCATCACGAACGAGGATTTCACTGTCGTGCAAGCACAGCGATAAGGTTGGACACTCTAGGAGAATCGACTAAAGCTATACATAATTCCGCTACGCAGCAGAGAAGTAGCTAACACTGAGATGCTAACGCGGTGACTCGATCCACACACACGCACGCACGCACGCACGCACACGCACACGCACACGCACACACACACACACACACACACACACACACACACACACACACACACACACACACACACACACACACACACACACACACACACAATTCGCTGAGTGTCATTCTAGTTTATATTAAAAATTTATATTACATACTATAATGATATTATTTGTCATATCATTTCTGCTTATAGATTTCGACTGCACGACCGCTTTTTTTTAGTGAAATCATAAAAAGTCAAACAACCCGATGATTTTTTACATGAAAAGTATTAAAAGTGAATATTGAAATCGATAAACTCGATCACTACTTTCGCACGCGACGATGTTAACGTGAGATTGTGTTTTGTACACGACGATGCGCATAGCAACGTATATCAATGTATGGTATGTATGTATGTATGTTATGTATGTTGATGTCCCCCTCCTCTCGTACTGTATCCGTATGTATGTATGTATGTATGTATGGTATGTCTCTGGTATGTATTTGTATGTTTAAATGTATGTATTGTTTATGCTATGTATGATATGTATATGCTATGTTATGTATGTATGTATCGTATGTATGTAGTATGTATGTATTAGTATTATGTATGTATGTATGTTATGTATGTATGTATTGTATGTATGTAATTATGTATGTATGTATGTATGTATGTATGTATGTATTGTATGTAGCTGTACTGTATGTACTGTTGCTATGTGTATGTATGTATGTATGTATGTATGTATGTTATGTATGTTATGTAGTGTATGATGTATGGTTATGTATGTATGTGTAGTTGTATGTATGTATGTATGTATGTAGTTGCTATGTATGTATGCTATGTATGTATGTATGTATGTATGTATGTCATGTATGTAATGTATATGTATGTATGTAGTGTATGTATTTGTATGTATGTATGTATGCTTTAGTACGTTATGGTGTTATGTACGTACGTAGTACTGTACTACGTACGTACGTATGTATGTGTGGTGAGTGGCAGGGGGTGGCGGGTTCAGTCACCTCGCTTAGTAGTCATCTGCTACTTCTCTGCTGCCGCTTAGCGAAAACACATGCGTAGCTGTGCGTGCCGTGCTCGTGCCCGTGGGGCGTGGCGTGCTTCGCGCTTGCGGGCGAT